AACCAGGGAGCGTGTTCGTGGGTTCGTGAACTTTTGTGCATACGTTTGCCCGGCGGTAATGTGTCACACAGATCAGGGTGAGGGTTGGGCAACAGCTCCGTTCACGGTACCCAGCCACGTGCTTTTGCCAGGTTTAAGAGTCGAAGGGCGAGGGGGGGGGGGGGGTACTTTATCTTTTGCATCCCTTAGGGGTTAGCCCATGGAACACGCGCCCTCGAGAGGAGGGACCATTGTTCCCATAGGCCCGGGGGGGGGGGGGTTGTACTCATGGTCGTGCATGCCGTGGTCGTTATACCATTGACCTCATATCTCTACAAAGCCGGGACGGAGCACGCCGGGTTCTCACCGGACCAGGCTCTCACAAAACCAAGCGCGAAGCGCCGTGGGGTATTCCGCGAGTCGCACGAAGGGTGCGCTGCATCCTGCCAAGGGTGTTCGGCATCTTGTGCTTACTTTCTTGCGTACGGATGACAGCTGCGTATGACTGAATTATTTTCTGGTGCTTTCACTTCCAGAGACAGTTAAAAGCATTGTGTAACTGCCTCGAGGGTGTTTGATCAATTTAACACTACGTGGTGCGATCATCCTCTTTTGCGCGGAGTGAGGGTTCTCGACCCCGCACAACATACCCTCTCGACCCGTATACGAGAGAGAACCAAGGCAACGACACCTTGGGGAGAGGAAACGACAAAAAGCACAACACGCGAGGTCGCAAAAAAAAAAGAAACGCTTCCATGTACATACTCGCTGCGCTGTATTAGCCTGTCCCTGGGAAGAGATAAAAAAAAAATTCCATGTTTATACTCGCGGCGCTCGATCAGTCTGTTCCTAGGAAGAGAGATAAAAAAATCGGTTCTATGTACAGTCTCCGCCATCAGCCTGTTCATGGAGAAGAGAGAGAAAAAAAAACGGTTCCATGATACACACTGCGCGCCATTCAGCCTGTTCCTGAGAGAGATAAAAAAAGCGGTTCTACAGTGTTACTCAACTGGGCGCCATCAGCCTGTTCCTGAGACAGATAAAAAACCATTTGCATGTACATACTCGCTGCGCTCTATCAGCCTGTTCCTGAGAGAGAGAGTGATGAAAGACTATTTCCAGTATGTCAGCCTGTTCCTGAGAAGAGATGATAAAAGCGGTCCCATGTACTCACTGCGGGCCATCAGCCTGTTCCTGAGAGAGAGAGACTAAAACACGGTTCTACGCATATTGCTCACTGCGGGCCATCAGCCTGTTCCTGAGAGAGGCCTCTCCGCCGTCATCGCCACCGGCACCAGCCTCCGCCACCACCGCCATCGCGGAACGTCCCGCCGTAGTAGGCGACGCACCCCGCTGCTGCTGCTGCTGGGAGGCAGGGGCCGGGGAGACAGAACGGGTAGGGCGAGCGACGGCACCCCCTCCCCCCGCGGTAGCTGCAGCTGTAGCGGTGGTGTTGCCCTCCGTGCCGCCGGCCGCGGTGGCCGCCGCCGGCGCTGGCGCGGGCGCCGGCGCCGGCGTCGGCTGTCCTCCCTCGAGCTCGGCGACGCGTGCGTGCAGCTTGGTGATTAGGTCGTTCCTTTCCCTGACCTCCTGCTGGGCACTCGCGAGGGTCTGCGGCAGGGAGAGGGCCCCAACAGGGAAAGGTGGTGTGGGTGGGAATAACAAGAAGATTTGCCAGCATTTTTGGGTGGGGCATGAAAGGAAAGCGTGGCTTGCTAGGAACAAACCACTCGCAAAAAATATCTTGTGCTCCTCCATTTACCTAGTCTCCCACAATAAATCTTTCATGGGGTCTTTTTTTTAGGACGGCATCTACGTACCCCACGGGGCCCACGAAAAGTGACTCTCTCTCGCTCTCGAGCGACAGTACTTTTACACTGCTGTACAGGCAGACGGCAGAAAATACCCCGTGGCAGTAGAGAAGACGATTCTTGAAACCTGGTCACCCCTCCCCTCTGGCGAAGCCTTCCACGCACCATAACAACGCTTGATGGGCTCGCTCGCTCACCTCCTTGATCTTGCGGCTGACCCCCTTCATGTTGTCGTACATGGTCCTGTTCGTGACGTTCTCGCGGTCCTTCGCCCGGATGGCCTCCTCCAACGACGCCACTTTCTTGCGGAGCATTTCCGACTGATTCGTAGCGATGACGACGGCGACGACAATGGTGTTGATGATTTTGATGATGATGATGGCGGCGATGATGAAATCATGAAAATGGCGACGACGATGTTGATGTCGATGATGACAATGATGGAAGATGACGGTGATAGCCACGATGACGATAATCATGGTGGTGATGGTGTATAGCCATGATGACGAGAGCCGATTGCGGTGGCAAAAGACAAGGTTGAACACGCGAGACAAAAAACGGAACGCAGCGGTTATTATAGTACGCTCATCACCTCCTGGGTGTGGTACCCGGCGTGCCTGTACGGTGCAGGACCACTTATCCCAAGTGCCAACTGGCGTGAGCTTGAATCAAACAAGCCTTGTGCGCATAGATGTTGAAAGGTCTTGACAGCAACCACCAACTCGAGCTTGAACGGTACTTCTATCAATCACACGGCCTGAGCTTCAAAATACGCGTGCACTACTTGTAAAGCAATTTTGAACAGCACCAGCAGCACACCGACACCAAACGACCGTTTTCAACCCCCCAAAAGTAAAAAAAAAACAAACTTTTGAGGTCGTCAATAAATCCCTCACCTGGCCCGAGCCATCCTTGGAAGCGAGCGCCTGCCGCAGCTGTACCCTCAGAGCCTCGCCTTCCGCCTTAGCCTTGGCGACCTGATCGGTTGTCCGAACAGTAAAGACCATGAATTTGGTCATTCTCAGCTTGGGCCGTGTGCCACAATTCCACAAAAGGAAACACAACCAGTGGCAACAACAACAACAACAAAGGCAGAACTACAACCAAAAAAAGACGACCACGCCAAAGACAGACAAAAAATAACACATTGCTCTTGGTTTTATGGCCAGAAATTGTCGCGGTTCAACTATCAAGAGTGCTGTCCAACCAACAGCGGTTACGTGGGCGATATTGTTTCGTGCCGACGCTATCTACTAAAAAAAACCCAGCAAAGCGGAAAGACCACACTTTTCACAGCTTGTCCGTGCCAACTCGCCTGCTCGTTGAGCTGCTTGGTCACGTTGGCCGTGGTGCTGTTGGCACTGGCGCGAGTGCGAGCGTTCTCCTGCCTCAGGGAGGCAGCCTCAGCAGCGGCCTGCACAGACCACGAAGCAAAACACACACAATACAAGGAACATCGAGAAAAACACCCAGACAGAAAGACAGAAACCGTTAGAGAGCGTGTTCGCGTTTTTTGTTTTATCCCGCTATGAGAGACTGACGTCTTTCTTCGGTCAGACGGTTAGCGCGGTCGATGCAAAAAAAAAAAAGACCAACAAGTATCGCGCATTAAACGAGTAGGCTGCCGCAGCAACCAACTACCGAGGCAGACCGGTTGGGAAATGTCTTTTAGGACGCGGGAACACGCTACATAGCGGCCCGCAGTCGATCGAGGGGTATGTAAGAACGAGCGGCGGACGAGTTGCTCTTGTTGTTGGGGAGTTGTTATCGTTTGGGGGGGACTTCCCCCCCCTTCACCCCCCGGTCTTCTTTTCGTGCCCGGGGGGGGGGGGGGGGGAGGGGGGGCAGTACGAGGTGGTGGCCGTACAGTAGAGCTCTCGGAGCGTGAAGGTCTCATTGTCGGTCGATTTTGGGAGTAGTCTACGCAGGTTTTTCAAAGCAAGCAAACATACTGGATAGAGTATAGAATCGGCTAAGTTGGGGTTGGGGTTACGGTCTGCGTACCACATGTCAGATACTTTTTCGCAGCAACCTCCTACTTTCTTTGCGTAGGCAGTCCGATCTCGATTGGATTTATTGGCCGATTTGGATAAAAGACCGAGGGAGAACCCAGCAATCGCACACGAGACACGTGAAAGACCAGTCGGGAAGTCTTGCGCAACACAATCGGCTGGTTGTCACACACAACAGCGGTGTCTCCAACAGCAACAAGACGCGATACCAGAGTCCGGTCATCGCAAAAAGACACACTTAATATATATATGGGGTTTTGTTTAAATTAATTAAATTTTGGATTTTCGGGGACAAGGTTCACAAGAACCTCTACATCAATAGAAAAACAGGGCAAGGGCCTCCTTTCTCCTCACGTACTGTATGCATACAAACCTTGGAGGCTTTCTCCCTCTCTGCCGCAAGCTTGGCCTCCAGATCGCGGCTGGCAGCAGCCTGGCCATGTGTTTCGCCGTGAAAAAAAAACACACACACACGAAAACGAAAAGCAATAGAACAAAAAACGTCATGGTACCGGTTGCTTTTCGGCGTTTACACATGAAATATATTAGCAATGATTCAATTTGGCGGAATCGCAGAAATACGGAAACCCGCCAAAACATGGAATGTGGGAAACCGTGGAATGAGCGACCACTCCAACGGAACAACGCCGAACACGTAAATCTGGTGACATCTGAACAACCCTTGTGGCATACCACATGGACAACCGCACTGAAAATTGGTCTCTCATACCACACGTTAAGCTGCGGAAGGACGGAGGAACACCCAAATCTCAAGCGGAGGCCACCAACCAAAAAATACAATCGACAACGAGGGTGTCTTTATCGCTAGCATCGACCGCGATAACCGGCTGACCAATGAAAAGACGTCAGTCTCAGTGCGGTTGAAAACACAAATGCTTCTGAAGGCCACAATCTGGGACCCCGTGTGTGTGGGGGGGCTCCACACTAGTATGATGGAATGGAAGGTGGAACAATCTACACGCTGAATTATTGGAAGAAAGGCTTACCTTTTGGGCGGCCGAGGCAGAAAGCGACTTCCTCAGCTCGTGCACCTAAACACAACGCGGGCATGGGAAAAAAACGAGACATTTTATGAAAGAATATGCAAAAGCGACAAAGGACTCCTCGCGAAAGAGAAAGAGACGCTCGCTCCCCCGTTTAAGATTTACGGGAGGATCGTGCACTTTTGTTGTTGCATAGCTCTACATCACAAAAAGCGCGGATTGATCAATTGGAGCACCGTTTCTCTCTGCACATACGCTGTTCCAATCATTGGCGGAAGCGAGCATTTTTCTTGCAAAGTGAGTTTTCCTCTCGCTTTCGTTCCTGGTCTTGGGTGGAAAGCGCTATTGTGTTCGTGTGTACACAGAGGGAAGAGAGTGCTGAACTCTTCTCGCATAAAAAATTGAAGGCAAAGCACCCCAGGAGGGATGGGTAGTGTGTCTCAGGGAGAGGGACGCTTCTGCGTGACCACGGGTTGGAGTACGTGGCACGAATGCCGTGAAGCGCTGATTTTGAAGTGATGACGAAAAAAAAAAAAAAAAGTTAGATTTTCAACGTGAAGACGCTATGAATTCATTGCTATTTAATCTACCCAGGACTCTTTTTCTATGGATAGAGATGGACTCATTGTGTCATCTTCAACAAAAATAAAAACAACAGAGCTTTGCTTCCTCCCGTTCACCTGAGGGAGGACCTTGGCCTTGATGGCGTTGGCATCGTCCCGCTCTTTCTCCGCCGCTGCCTTGCCGCGGGTGAGGTCGGCCTTGGCGTTCTCCAGGGCGGCCTTCGTTTGGTCGGCTTCGGCGAGGGCCTTGGCCAGCCGCTCCTTCTCGGCGATAACGTCTTCGTGGTCCTTGGGATCCACCTAAAACCACAACAACAATGACAACAACACCAACAATATGATCATCAACAACACAATCGAAATCAACGACAACATCGTCATCATCAACAACAATAGCCACGAGAACAATAGAGGAAATAGAAACAACAGCACCAACGTGATCTTCATCAACAACAACACAACCAAAATCAACGACAACATCGTCATCAACAACGATAACAACGACAACAACAGAAGAAATAGCAACAACAGCACCACCAACATCATCATCATCAACAACAACACAAATCAAGATCAACGACAACATCGTCATCAACAACAACAACGACAACAACGCTAGAAGAAAAAACAACAGCAACAGCACCGGCAACGGCAATAGCAACATGATCAACAACATAATCAAAATCACGGACAATCGGTCATCAAAAACAACAACAATACAAGAAAACAAGAAATAACAACAACAGCAACAACAACAGCACCCACAACAAACACAACATCATATCCAACACCCAACAACAACAACAATGTGCTACAGATTGGAGCTTTTACCGCGTTGAAACTGGCGGTGAGGCTGGTGACGCGCTTCTTCCAGTTTTCCACCTCCTTGCGGAGGCTTTCCTTCTCCGAGGCAAGGGATGCCGATGACGCCGACTGCTGCCTCTGCGCACGCTGGAGCGGAGCCATCTGGGCACGCAGCTGGCTCAGGCTATATTCGCGACAAAAAAGAGAGCCCAACAAAACAATTCACGGCGTGCGCACGCGTATTTAGCAGAAGACAGCTCAAAAATGTGATTGGGATGCAAGAGTTTCTAACGAAAACGGTTCCGAGAGAGCACCAACAAACAATTCACGGCTGATGAACATTTAGCAGAACAAGGGAAAGTAGAGTCTTTGGGATTAAACGAAATAGGGACGTGGATGAGGATTGACACTTAAGAACGTGTGTTGTTTGCGTGCCTCTTCGCGACCCAAATAAGTTCAGGCTCGGGTTCGGGTTCAACTATTTATACGGTTTCAAACCTGTTACCCACAGGGGAGATATCGCCGTACATGCTGCTCGGGGAACAGCAGCGGAAACACGGATTGGTCGGTAATGTAACCCTATGAAGACAATGCTCATGTCTGTAGATAGCGACTAATTCGTTGTGGCTCTTGCACGAAAAAAACTTCAAGCTCCAAACCATTTTGAGCAGATTTCTATTTCGTCCAAACGTGCCAGTCCCAAGAATGGGCTAGTCATGTGTCTGTCACACCGTCACACAGAAGTGGCATCACACGCATTTCAACAACACCATCATGTCAGCCCTTCGCTTGGCACCCACGCAGCATGCTGTGACGAACACCAGCACGTCATATACACAAGAGACCCCGGACTGTTGTTCTCTTGCACAACCGGAGACTGCACCAACAAATGCACCGATGGCCTCAAAGGTGCATAAATCATAGGGCAGGATACTCATCCCACGCTTCGCAAGCATAACAAGGCAAGCACCGAAAAGAGAGGCGACAATTTATGCGAACGACGCAGCTAGCCGAAGGTGCAGTCGCGGGCCAAGGTATACACCCCACGCTTCGCACGCACAACAAGGCAAGCACGGAAAAGAGAGATGACAATTTACATGAACGACGCAGCTAGCCGAAGGTGCAGTCGCGGGCCAAGGTATACACCCCACGCTTCGCACGCACAACAAGGCAAGCACGGAAAAGAGAGATGACAATTTACATGAACGACGCAGCTAGCCAAGGTGCAATCACGCGGGCAAGGCATACACCCTGCACTTTTTATACTTGCGCAAAAAAATAGGCACGCACCTCCCTTCGGCCGTACGGCTCCTGCGCTCCGCGTCCCCGAGCTTGCTCCGGAGCATGTCGTTGCTCTCGCGAAGGGTGCTGATCTGGGCCACCTCTTCCAGGAGTTTCCTGTGCTCCGCCTTGGAGACGGCCTCCACGCTCTCGGTCGCCGCCCTGGCACAACAGCGCAAGCAAACATGCGGTGATAAAAAAGACGGTATTTACATACAGCAGTGGTAGACACGGTTTAAGAGAGGGTCGTGACAAGCCAGTATTTCTCTTAAATCCGGTTTTCTCTTAAACCGTACTGCTGTGAAATGTATGTATTTCTCATGGTCATGACAAGCCAGTTCGACTCTCTTAAATCGGTACTTTCTCTTAAATAGTCTCTCTTAAACCGTAGCCGCCACTGTAGGTAGAAGTGGGCCCATGAGAGAACGGTGCCATCAGGACGTGAAGCGAAACAAAACCAGGCAGGCAGGACCAGCCCACAGCCGGCTGCCAGCTCTACTGCCACTTGTGACATTTCCCAAGCTCAACGGCCTGTTGTTGACTCCAAGAGACTCGAAGGCTCGCCCAGTGAAGTCCCACGTACAAAAACTCACAAATCTGGATATGTTTAGTAGGTACCTCTGGACTTCCTCCCGGGCCTCCCGAAGCGACTGCTTCGTGCGCTCCAGCTCCGCCTCTACCTTGGTCACCCTCTGCTTCGACAGCTCCAAGTCCGTCGTCACCACCTGCGGTGTTTCGCGGTTTACCGTCCATCCATCGGTTTTCTTATGTTAGTACAAAAGTGGTGAGGTATAAAGACGAGAGTCCGTCGTCAACACCTGCGGTGTTTCGCGGTTTACCGTCCATCCATCGGTTTTCTTATGTTAGCACAAAAGTGGTGAGGTATAAAGACTATTATAGAGTACAAGTTTGCTCCGCTGTGTCGCTCGCGGCTCACGTGCTGCTCTCCTAGCGACAGCCTACGCCCCACCCGGCCCCGTCTCCTCCTCTTCCGACTCCTTTCTATTTGTTTTCGCCAAATCGCCATTTGGATTTTCTGGCAAAGGTGTGTGCTATAACACGGTTCGTGCCTTTCTTCGCAGGCAGGTGCAACCTTTTCCTGCTCTGGCAATAATTACAGAGCAGGAAGAGGTTGCACCTGTCTGCGAAGAAAGACACGAGCCGGGTTAACACACACCTTAGACAGAAAATCCAAACGGCGATGTGGCGAAAACCAAAAAAAAGGAGTCGGAAAAGGAGGAGTCGGAAAAAGGAGGAGACGGGGCAGGGTGGCGTAGGCTTGCTAGGAGAGCAGCACGTGAGACCCGGGCGAAACAGCGGAGCAAACTTGTACGCGTAGCTACCTACAGCGCTCGGACTGCTCTACGAAGCGGCGCAACTAAATAGGCATCGCCGTGGTGGGGATACAGGAGACGAGGAGGGCTGGGCAAACGGAGTTTACAGCAGCAGGATTCAGGGTTTTCTGTCATGGGAGCGAGAGAGGTGGGACACATTGGGTGGGGTTAGCAGTGGAAGGAGTCCATGTGCCGCGACTCCACCTACACGGTCGAATACGGTACCGGCGACCGCCTCATGGCTACGCGGTTTGAGGAACAGAGCGAGATGACCGGAGCGGTGGATTTCGCAACTGCCTACGCACTGACAGAGGTCGCAGATGATGGACAAAAATAATAGGTTAAGGGATGGGCTCGATAACCTCATGCAGCGGTGTGTGTATGTTATAGTGGATGCTAAAGAGAACGGAGCGAGAGAGCCTGTCGGCGGAGGGTGTACTTGGCCCGTACGGACGCCATGAGCTGAACGATAACGGCAAACGACTGCTCAACTTCCGCGATAGACAACAAGCTCGCCGTCACCAACACCTCCTTCAGTACGCGCAAAGGCGGAGTATCACACACCTTCAACGGCAGCAAGGGCACCAGGGTGGGCGACCTCAGCGTATAGGCTACATCTTAACGCGACAGGCACACCGACACGTCACCCCCCAAACAAACATACACTACTGTATTCCACTGACGTCATGGATGCATTGCTAACCTATTGCAGACCCCCGTTTATCTGTGGAAGAGATGATTATTTGTTGTGCCATAAGTGCGAAAAAGACAAAAACACTGTGTTCCGCTGCAGCTATTTACACGAATTCATTTGCTAACCTATCTCAAACTCTTTATCTGCGGAACAGAAAAATTTGTAGATAACACTGCATTTGTACATACCTGGACATCTCGGCCCTTGTGGCGGACAAGTTCAGTCAGTTCCTTCACGGCGCGCGCAAGACGCATCTTCTCCTCCTTCTCCTCCCTGTCCGCGTCCCCCCCGCCGCCGCTCGCAGCTGGGTGAATAAAAAAAAAAACACACACACACACAAAACACTTGTCAGCCCGTTAGCGCGGTCGATGCTAATAACAAAAAACAAACACACGCACGCACACAAGAATTATTCGAACCAAAACACAGATTAACAACGCCGAGTAGCGACAAGCACGGTGGCGGGGGGGGGGGGGGGACAACACGGCGGCTGCACCAAAAAAATAGGCGAAAAAAAACAAAAAAGTCTGCGGGGGACCTCCGCGGCCGTTCGCCCAAGACCCCGACCGAACTGTCGCCCGAGACTACCCCTTCCCCCCCCAAAAAAAAACACCAACCCATCAGCGGGGGACCTCCGCCCGCCGTCCCCCCAGTCACCCGGACCCTAACCGTAGCCCGAGACTACTCACCTCCCCCGCCCTCCCCTTCCTCGACGACCCTGTCAGCCACGGCCTTGTCCTCCCTCGCGCGCTTCGCCTGGGCGGTTTCCATCTGTTCCGTGAGGTTCTGGAGGTGCTTCGTGAGGATCTCGTGCTGGGAGTTCAGGCTTGCCAGGCGTTCCTTCGTGTCTTCGCATGTCTGTGGGGGGGGGGGGGGTTCTCATGCTTCTTACGCTTTAGCTTTGGCCACGCGTCCTCTAGCATTGTTCCCACGAGATGGATCGCCGATGGCCAATCGTTCCTTCCCACAGTGCCAAAGGTGCCTCAAGAATGTTTTCCCTATCCTACCTGTATCACTTTAGGGCGGGGGGTGGGTACTAGGCGCTCGGAGTTAGGGCTCGCGTGAGGCGGTTTCAAAGCTTGTTGCGTGTTCTTAACATACTTCGACCAGAGGACAGGACAGGACAGGCGAAATTTGCACATCCTGTGTTGGGACAGTCAGCTGCCTCTCCTTGCTCTATCAACCATCGTGATCGTATACAGTGAGCGTCCGCACTTAAAAAAGAGCTTGGGAAACAAGAAATTCAGGCTCAACAACAAAAAAACGTAAACAAACGTGCTCTGTCAAGAAGAAGCCTACAAGTATATAGTCGCTGTCGGGGCATCAGAGAAGACTAAGAAACGGACGACCCTCAGCCAAAATGTACAAAAAGCAAGGCGCGATATCTGTTCTCCAGCACGTCATACGGCTATGTTTCAAATTTACCAAAGAGGGGTCCCGGCGGACATCGAGAAGGTAAGCTCCTTTTTTCTCAGAAAAACCTCCTAATTTCAAGATGCGTGAATACCTTGATAGGGCGGGCGCGTCGTGTATAAACCTCATTTCAGGATGCGTATCCCTTGGTGGGGCGGTCGCGTGTTGTATCCCTCATTTCAAGATGCGTGTATCCCTTGGTTGCGCGGGCGCGTTCTGTATAAACCTCATTTCAAGATGCGTCCTCCAGTACCCCCGTAGTGTCCCTTGTTGAGAGCACCCTCGCGGCCCTCCCACCGAGCCCGGGCCCCAATCAATTCCGCCCCCAGACTGTCCTTGCCATGTTGCGCTTCCCTCGCGCCCTTGTCACTCCCCTGTCGATACCAATGCACCAGTCCCAAACCGAGAGACAACACCAGGTTTTGAAAAAGGGGGTCCCGTGTAAATGGGGGGGGGGGGGGGTGTACTCATAGTCGTGCATGCCGTAGTCAATTTGACCATTGACCTCGCATCCCTACAAAGCCGGGACGG